CCCTCTAGGGATCTCTAGGCTGTAATCTTTACAAGAGCAGATCACCACGTCTTTCTCCAGAGCAGCCGCTGGGCGCATTCGAACAACCAACCTTTTGATTAGCAGCTAAGTGCTTAACCATTGCGCCACATAGAAGCTTAATAAAATTTTGACTGGATTTTGTTAGTAAACACTGCCTCCGTTTTCTACGGCGTACGTATTTTATGACATGGTAACTAGGTGCAGAAACAGATGCTATCCAAATTTAATTCCATTCCTTCAAACGTGCGTACCCAATGGTGTTTTATATATAGTAACTCAGTCCCCCCAGCAATCCCGTGGTAGGTGGTTTTACTTGATTTTACAAATGGATGCTGAGATATGGAGAGGTTAAGGAACTTGTTTAAGGGCACCAAGCTAGGAAGTCGGGCAGGAAGCAAGTCCTCTCTACTGCCTGGGTAAGGGTATCTCATCCCACACAGGGGCCAGACTCAAGTCAGCTTGAGAGCAAAATCCCTGACGGTGTTGAGTATAGAGAACAAACCAGCTCTCAGAAAGTCCAGTGGAATTTTTTCTCCGGGTGGGGTCAAACTGCTGGGGTTTTTTTTACGTCGAGTTCCAGATGAGGTAATTGGCTCCCATTTAGGTGCCATGTCATGAAGATCAGGCGTCTTCAAACACTGAAATCACTCAGTGCCAAACAAGTGAAATGGAGTCCACATAACCACACATGCTTCATGGTACAACTCCAGACTTTGCAAAGCTTCCCAGCATCTTCAGCAACTCTCTAGGCCTCGTCCCAATGTCAAGGCTGATAAATCTGTCCCCCCTTAAAAATTAATTGTTTTGAAAATATTGAGGCTAAAACAATGCATGGCTTCTAAACTTAGGTAATGATAGCTGACGCTGTCTGGCTTCCGTTCTGCTGTTGCCCTCAAGTCAGCTCCAACTCATGAAACTCCACATACAACAGAACAAAATGTTGCTCGGTCCTGCACCATCTTCACGGTCATTGGTATGCTCAAGCCTATTTGTGCGGCTACTGTATTTTGAGGATCTTTCAACCTAGGGGGCTCATCTTCCAGCACTGTACCAGGCAACATTCCCTTGTAACCCATAGGGTTTTCACTGGCTAATTTTTGGAAGTAGACTGCTAAGCCTTTCTTCCTGGTTTGTCTTAGTGTGGAAGCTCCGCTGAAACTAACCCACCAGGGACTGCTATTATCTGAAATACTGGCGGAGTAGCTTCCAGCATCATAGTAACATGCAAACCACAACAGTACGACAGACTGACAGGTGAGGAGCTTCTATCCTAAATGTGTTTAAATCCTTAGCGGAGCCCTGGCGGCACAGTGGTTAAGAGCTCAGCTGCTAAACAAAAGATTGGCAGTTTGAACCCACCAGGGGCTCCTTGGAAATCCTATGGGGCAGTTCTACTCTGTCCTATAGGGTTGCTATAGGTCGGAATCCATGCAACGGCAACGGGTACTATTAACATTCCCATTTTACAGAGACGGGAACTAAGGAATACAGATGGTAAATAACTTGTCCAAAGTCTCAGCAGGTGGCAGAAATTGGACCCAAGCAGTCAATGTTAACCAGCAGTCAGCAAACTGTGGCCTATTTCTGTAGGTTTACTGGGACACAGCCATATCCATTTAATATTGTCTACGGCTACTTCTGTGCTACAAAGGCAGAGTTACTATTAGTGACAGACACTCGCTGGTCTGCAAAGTCTGAAGTATTTACTATCTGGTCCTTTAGAGAGTAAGTTTGCCGAACGCTGGGATTAATTGGGCAATACCATGATCTTCCAACACATGCCCTCTTTGAGCACCTTGCTGTACCTTAAGACCACAGGATCAAGTTGTCAGACTGCAATTCAAACGACATTTTCTGCCCACCTGCTACAAAACTTCCGGGGAAGTAGGGGAACGAATTTCTACTCCATAGAAAACGGCGCTATCCTTGGTCTCCATCACAATCTGAATGCTACTCAAAAGAAGAGAAATGTGTAGCTCAATCAAGAAGAAATAGACAATAAAAGATCAGGAATCACAAGAATACATTTCAGAATTATAGTATGCTGCCTTAACTGGAATTAAAAAAAAAATTGCAACGTTTTACATAAAAATCACATTGCACCATTTTGGGATTCATTTTTTAGAAATAAGCAAGTTAGTTACAATTTATCTTCAAAGTGTTTGCCTTTGTTCATCCAAACATATATAAATATCAACAATATATAGAAATAACAGTAAGCCCAAATATTGACTATTAAACAACTGTCAGGATTATAGCTGTCTAGTTCACGGTGGCTTAGAGTTAAAACACACACCTACACACACACCCTCCTTAACCTTAAAGTGCTGGAAATAAAAGTCCAAGTCAACCCCCCAGCCTGATGTGAACACCTTGCTGGTAGGCAGTGGTGCCCATACTTTTATTGGTGAGAATCTGCTGAGGTAAATGAAACAAGGCAGGCTTTGACTATTACTCCTTTGCGGCAAAGAGAGAAAAGAGAGGGAAAGCGATTTCTACAAAACAAGATGAGCCAGAAAATTGTTTGATGCAACAATACCTTTAAAATGAAGCAGTATGAATTAAGTAAAACGTTTAGATGGCTTCTCAGCCTTTCAAATTCAGAACTCCAAATAGGTAATCATCTAAAATGGTTAGATCATAAAAATACGTTCACGGCACTATAAATATGCACCTCTTTTATTATGAGACCAGGTGCATCAAGAATGTTTATTTGCTTATGTATTTAGTGATGGTTCTGGTAGTCAAACTATAACTGGAGTTATGATAAAGCTGCCTCTCATTACAGAAGTGTCAGATTAGCTTTAAGACAAATTTACTTTAAATTTTACAGCATTAAAAACAAAACGAAGCGAACACAAGACTCCTCTGAGAAGAAACTAGCCTGCAGGGCTAACAGCCTACAAGAGCCATGGCCTGATCTAGCCTGAGATGAGAAGAACTAGATGGTGCCCTGCGACTACTGCTGACTGTTCTGATCAGGGCCACAATAGATGGACCCTGACAGAGCGGGTGAAAAACACAGAACTGAAATTCTTAAAGAAAGTCTAGACTTAACTGGACCATCTGAAACTCGAGGACTCCCTGCGACTATCACCCTGAGAAGATACTCTTTAAATCTTGAACAGAAAATATCCCAAGGTCACCTTTTAGCAAATAACAGATTAGCACACAAAATAAAGGATACTATCCGTAAGTATGGTGCTCCGTTAAAAATACCATGTATATGAGACCAACAACTACTCTACAGCAAAGATGAGAAGGCGGCAGGGAAACTACAGTCCTGGAAACAGAATGACCAGAACGCAATGAAAGGGAACGTGGACACATTGTGAAAAATGTTAACTATTGTCACTCAACCGTGTAGAAACTGTCAAACGGAAACCAAACCTGCTGTGTAAACGTTCCATGAAAACACAATGAATTATATCTTAAAAAAAGCTCCCAGTTTTGCTACAAGTGTCTTAACACTTGTGTAATTCTTTATATTATAAAATCCCCTCAAAAAGTAAGAGCCACACAGTTCTCCCTCTAGAAATACGTTCTTGCTGACATGCAAGTCTACTAAATTTGGTACACGAGTCAAGGAAAAACATTATGGATTTTCATCTTGCATAGACAGAATTGTTAGAAGTTTACGGAACAACATATCACAGTCGTGAGGCCAGAATTTCACAATGTTGCAGTAACAGCTCTTAATACCACTCTCTCTAACTTTATTCAACTCCAATTAGTTTTTATTTTTCTACTTCTATGGTGAAGGATGTAGTCAGCCCACACCTTATTTTCACCCACTTGAATACTTCCTTCAGGGGTCTTAGACCTTTTTTATGGGTGTAGTTTCTGATTTTCTCATTAAACTGGAAGAAAGGAAGTTCTTATATACCCATAAGTGCTTAGCATAGTGCTCTGCAAACACTAGATTCTCAAAAGATGTGCTCACCTTCTGACTGCACTTCCATCTGAACTTAGGCAGGCATGCCATATTTTTAACGTTGTCTTTAAGTGTAGTAACAATTAAAAACAAAAACTACGTTGTTCCAGTTGACTGGCATCGGTACTTGAATTGGTTGTCTTAACACATTTTTACTCTAATTCCCATTTTTTCTCCAGCTAGAATACAGAGTATAAAGTAGCTCCAAATAATACCATGTATGCATTCCAAAAGTCATACAGGTACCCACTTTGAAAGGAATGACTTTGCTGGTGAAGTTATTCAACACGTTGTTCTGCCAGATACTGAAATCTCCAAGGAATGGTGTTGTGCTCAAGAGTGAATGTGCATCTGAATGGTATCTGCTAAAAACCACCATAATACGTACCCATTCTATTTTCTATTCCATTTCAGATTTAGTTTTAATAAAAGTAATGCAAATCATTTAAAGAAAAAAAACCTTTTAATTTTAAATTCTGGTCTATGCATAAAATTCATTTTTATATCACGGTTAAATTTAGTACAAACTATAAAAATGTTAACACTGAAGTTCTCAACAGAAATCTATTAAGATCCCTTAGAAAAATTATTTATTTAAAGAAACAACAGCAAGTCATTTACTGCTATGAGGTTAATACATAAACAAGAAACATTCACACATTTTACTGAATTTATCAGTAAATAATTTTAGCCATAATACTTACTGTAAAATTAAAAGCTCAAAAGTCACGTGTGGCTCTATAGCAATTACAATTTGCAAGGAGAACACTTAGCCAAATCTTTGACTTAATCAGAACAATCCTGGCGTAAAAAACTATCTGCTGAAACTTGCAAACTTTAAAAGGCCGTCAACTGTGAATGAAGTAGGTGTATTATAACTTAGCATAAGTTAAAGTGGAAGACGGTAAAAACTAAAATGCTTTGAAATTTGAATTGCACAAGAAAAATACTAGGGAAAAATATTCAGAGCCATAGCTATTACTTTAAAAAAATATGAGATTATTCTTCTATTAAAAACATTAAAGGAATAAAAGCCAGACAGTACTGAATTTTTACACAAGCCTCTTTTGTATTTCAAGGTTGTTTATTGAGGAGTGAGCTGAAGGACTACTGCCAGACATGCCAACGACACTTCACATTCAAGGGCTGGAAGCGGAAAAGCTTTCCAAATCGAGTCACTGCATAAGCCTTTTGGGAAAAAGAACCGAAAGTGACATCAAATAGGAGATCTTCATGCTTGTTGTCTTATCTTCAGTTTTGGTTTTTTTCCTTTCAACTTTTGGATCTACTGGTTTGTAGGGCAGAAGGCTTCTTTCCACCCTACCAAAAGACTCACACTCCAATTAACAGAATTCACACTAGGTGTATAGCAATTCGTTTTAACGCAAATCTATGCTGAGTAACTGATCTGAAAGCTGTGTTTTTTCTTAAATCTTATGTCTGATGAGAAAATTAATTTTATTTCCCTTTCACCTTTACACAGGTGGGTTATACCAATAGAAAAATACTCTTCAGTGCTACCGGAGGGCTGGTTTGCAGGGAATTTCCTCAGTGGTATGACAGAAATCCATTTAAACACCATTGGGAACAGTGCTTCTCTCTTCCTGCCGCTGGGGCTCTGCAGAATGGCCTACACACACTATCACTCTCTTTTGCTTAAACACAAAACAAAGAAACCTAAACAAAAGGGTAAACGTTTATTGGGAGTTAGTTTTCTGGTGGGTGATGTCAGGCCCTTCACGCAGAACTGAGGAGCCCCTGTATGGCCCCTTGCTGCTCCGGACTGAGCTGTCCTATGCATTCAGTCCACAGTCCTCCAGAAGTCTGCGGGGGGGAAACAAAACATTTTTATAGGTTTACAGATGGTGAAATGTTAATTTGGAAGTATTTTAATAATCATTATTGGTACGTAACAATGTCAAAATACTTCTCAGGTAGAGTAGATTACCTGTTGTAGTAGAGTCAATTCCGACTCACAGCGACCCTACAGGACAGAGTAGAACTGTCCCCTAGGGTTTCCAAGGAGTGGCTGGTGGATTCAAACTGCTGACCTTTTGGTTAGCAACCAAGCTCTTAACTACTGTGCCACCAGGGCTCCTAGGTAGATTACTTTTTAGTTTGATGAATTATCATGGTAAAAGCAAGAAATCTGCTCATTTCTTTAAAGTTCATTTCATTTACAGTAAGTTTTCTTCATTCATTTCAAACTGAATATACTAGGCTGATGTTACGTTAAAGTAACCTATAAAACCTGTTACCTGTTGCTGTCAAGTCGATTCCGACTCACAGCAACCCTACAGGATGGTGAAGAACCGCCCCACAGGGTTTCCAAGGAGCCGCTGGTGGATTCGAACTGCTGACCTTCTGGTTAGCAGCTGAGCTCTTAACCACTGTGCCACCAGGGCACCTAACTTTAGGAAGTAAAACTCATCGAAACATTTTTGGTAGCTAACAACTCATTATTAAATTCTATCCTCTTCTTCACAAATATGCATAAAACTTCTGCCTGAGTTTGTTCCAATCACCAACGAGAAGGCTCAAAATGTTTCAAACTTAAGAGGAAGGTTTCAGTTCTAATACATTACGAGAGCACACAAAAGATTAAGTATAATGCATTTAAAGCTTAGAGATAAGAGAACACAAAAATAACATTTCCTTAGCTCATTATATTTCTATTTTCTTCTTCTAATACAAAAACAAAAAACACCTTCTGTTTCTTCCCTCTGTCTGACTTAACCGCACCGGCTCACCTGTACCTGGCGAACTACGTTAGCCAGACGCCTGGCACAAGGATCTTCGTGTTTAATGGCCTCATGCATTTCTCCGTCTGCAATTATTTTGAATATTTTGGGCAAATTGGTATTGTTTGGGCCAAGAACGACTGGGTGATTACTGACAAAAGAAAGAGAAGAAAACCTTTATAAATGAAATCTGTAAGCAGGTATCACAGGAGCACTCGTGCGTCAACACACCCTCTCGCGAGACGGAATTCTGTCAGAAGACAGGTCTTTCCCCAAGGTTACAGTTCACGACGTCGAGGGCCTTGTCAGCTCAGGAGAGGAGAAGCAGCTCACTGTACTTACTCGCTGTTCAGTTTCTCCACATGTAAATTAGGGTATATGCTTGGCTTCTCTGTCAGGATTGTTTTAAGGGCCAGACAACAGAATGCCACAGGTGCTTTAAAAATATTGTAACTTATTTGAAACAAAAAAACAAAACCCAAGAATAACAGTGTCTCTGCACGAATTTTAGTGTTACTGCAAAAAAGGTTTACAAAATAAATATGAAGTTCAAAAGAATGTATCGGCATTCTGAGAGTAAGCTGAGAAACAAATAATAAACTCCAGGCAGGTTTAATACAAAGAAACATAACTGTGAATTCAACCAGAATTCCAGTCTTTGTCATGAAGAGACTTTCACAGCAGTCACTTCCAAGGGAGGTGATCAAACAGCATGATCAACTGCTGGTCATTTCAGAGGCCGGGGCAGGCCACGAGTGTGGAGTCTCCAGAAGAGAAGGATAACTTACTGTACTTGAGGGTGCTCTCAGTGGAGGGCCCCAAACACGGTACTTAGGGGAACCTAAACTTAGACATCAAAGAACATGCCCCTTTCGCCTAATTCTACAAACGCCAAGATATGACTGGTTGCCCTTGAATTTATTCATAAACTCAGAATAATAATTAAGAATGACAAAACCCAGGACCTAATATGTAGGGAAACCTGGGTTTACAGAAACAGACACCAAAGAACATGTCTTTGATTGATAGTTTCCACAGCCTTCAGGTTGTTAGAACTCTTAGATTTATACTTATGGACATAAAACGGCATTAATAACGCCAGAGCAGGACCAGACCTTGATCGCCTGTCTGGTGTATTTCCCTTATGCCACTGATTCTTGAATCCAAAGAAAAACACCAGACTTTTAGAGGGTCGAATAGTAGAACTAACAATGTACTGTAATCTCTTCTTGAAATAAATAGGGCAGCTGACAGACACTAGATGGGAACCTTCTTAAAACGTTACTTTCTATAGTGCTTGCGCTAACCTCATCTGCTGAATTTAATTTCACAACGATTCAAAATTAGATCTCATTATGAGACAATCTTAACTGGGATGTGGTTTCTTAATATGATTTATAAAGACAGCATGATTGCAGACCCACACCTCAGAGGGCAGGGCACAGAGACTGCAGGGGAGAAAAAAGCAGCAAAGTATTGTTTCCTTTGAAGGGGAAAGAGGTAAGATCTCTGTGCCCTTTTTTTACCTTTCAATTAGGTCACAGAGATAACCGAAAGTCTGAACAGCTTCCTCTTTATCTTCATGAAGTGGAAGCCAGGATAGCCAGTGTGGCAGGACTTCATCAACATTCACACAGTCAGGTTTGAACTTCATCATCTTCCCTACCGCTGAGATGCAGTTCTCTGTGGCATTGACGTTTTCTTTGGTCCTAGAATCCGCAGCCTGAATAACTCTCACCAGCAGCGGAAGCGCTTCTAAAATACGAATTTGGAAAAAGGTCAGCTGAAATCTCATTTTCATGCAAATGAACATAAATATTATTTCTTTTATCTTTGTTTTAATTACAGATTACAGTGAAAACACATTGAAGTGTAAGGAATGTTCTCCTTCTCTGCTGTATGATCACAGACATAGCAATGAAGGGAAGACTGCCCCTGCATGGTCAGGGAGTCTTGGGGTCAAGAGCACCAGCACCACTAACTTAGAGACCTGTGATGTTAACAGCCCCCAGATTTACACTGGTGACCTGAGGGCATTTAAGCTTTAGAAGCTGCCTATGTTAAACTTAGAATGACCCCATGGTCTTTCAAAAGTCCTATGCTAGGGCTAAGGAACCCTAGTGGCGCAGCAGTAAGCGCTTGGCTGCTAACCGGAAGGTCAGCCGTTCGAAGCTACAGGCCACTCTACAGGAGAAATATGTGGCCGTCTGCTTCTAGAAAGATCTACAGCCTTGGAAACCCTAAGGGGCAGTTCTACTCTGTCCTACAGGGTCACTACGAGTTGGAATCAACTTGACGGCAGCAGGTTTGGGTTTCAGGTTTATGCTAGGGCTGGAGTCCCTGGGTGGTGCAAATGGTTAACATGCTCGGCTGCTAACTGAAAGGTTGGAAGTTTGAGTCTCCCCCAGAGGTGCCTCAGAAGAAAGGTCTGGCAATCTACTTTTGAAAAATCAGCCAATGAAACCCTATGGGGCATAGTTCTACATGGACACCACTGGGTTGCCGTGAATCAGCCAACTCGAAGGCACCTGCTTTATGCTAGGACTGTGGTATACCCTCAAAATTCAAAATCAAACTGTACTTGGGGAGGTGTGTGGGGTGTGAAGGAAACAGGCTTTGAGTCCACTCCGATTTCATTTCCATTTCTATGAGAATAAAGGTGATAAATTCACACATGTAACAGACGAGGGATTTGAGAACGAGGAAGAGCATAAAGCAGAACAGGTCCGTGTTTGGGAGTGTGCCACAGAGAGGGAGAAGAGACGTGTGGGATGACATGCATGGGGCCTAACAAATGCAAGTACCTGTACAGAAAGGACGATAATTATCTCCGCCGTACTGCGCCATGACTCCCAGGCCGTATGCGGCAGCTTGCCTGACTTCTGGGCTGTTGTCACATACATACTGGAGCATGGGCCTTAAGAAATACTCTGCATATTTAAATGAGGCTGGGCTGCAGTGTTCTATGACATCGTCAAAGATGCACAACCCCCACTGTCTGTCTGGCCACGGTCTATGTGGACACTGCAAAAGAGACACTCTTGTGAGCGTCTAATACTGCAGTATACAAAGAATGCAAAGAAGCACGTTTTCAACACAGACTATCAGCTTACACGGCTATTCTTCATACAGGTAATAAAACCCCCCACAACAACCACTTCTTGTGAATAACAACGCTCTTTAAACAAATATATAGATTGAACAAATACAGGTCTGTAAGACCTGTGTGACCTGTTCCAGAACTCCACAATGTGATTTCACCATACACCAGGAAGAACTGATGGTAGCAGCAATGTATGTAGATTTAATTTACAAAAAATATAATGGTAATGCTGTATTTTAAAACACAACTTTAATAAAAGCTGCAAAAATCTTTACTTTATGCATTGAATCAACCGGTTATCACAGACAAGTCAAGTCGTGCGCATCTAAACTGTTTTTTAAATGTACTGTACTAACCGCGATAACATAAAGGGCCCATTTTAACCTACACATATAAGATCTTCATGCTCCAATAAAACAGGTCAACTATCTAAAATAAAGTGATGGAAGAGGCGGCACTCACAATCAGGTTGACAATTAATGGAAGCAGCTGTTCAAACCATGGTAACACCTTTTCCTTGTAGCTACTAAATATTGAGTGTAAGATGTCTGACACTTTGGTCAGAATATAAACATCATTATCATCCTAAAAAAAAAACAAAAAACAAAAAACCACATGTATTAAAAAGCATTCCCACTATTAACAGAAACATTTATAAAAGTCGAGGAAATACAGAAAATAAAATTTATTATGACTTTCTTATGGGAGAATGAGGTGACCTTAACACCTGGGTGTCACGCTTTTACGCGGCTATGGAACCAACAAGGTGTGTGGTAAGTGCCCTTTCTGAAATGTCTTTCCTTGGAATATACTTAAAGTATGTATGTTTGAAGAAAATTTACCCCAAATCCCCAGCTTCTGAAACAAGTGTTTTGACTTACTATTTTTTCTGCCACAATGTTCCTAGTTTTGGGGTGAGATGGTGGGGAGGTGGGGGGTAGCACGTCAGGTAGCAGTTTGGGTACATCAGCATGTGAGCAACCTGAAGGGAACTTGTATGACCTGTGCCTTTCAGCACTGCTCCACTATGATGGCCAGATACCATAGATTCTGTACCCTAAATACACAGTCAAAATACATTTGATGGTATTAAGTAGTTTGTTAAGAGAAATGAGTAACGAGGTGAGAATGACATCAACCACTGCATATGTTTACATCTTTTAAGGAAATGTGCATTACTGGGTGGTACAGAAGAAAGCTGATGTTAGAGAAGGATGTGGGCTTGAGCCCTAGCTTGACAAGGGTGTGACTTTGGGCAATCATTTAACATCTGAGTTTGAGTTTGCTCATCTTTAGAACGGTGAAACCACCATCGAATACAAATGGTTGTTGTGAGGAGTATGTGAAACAAACATAAACTCCAAATGCTTTTGGAAGTGTGAGGTATTGCAATAAAATGCACACAGAGCATCCCAAAGAGAAACGAGCTATTTTCAAATTACTCACTCTGTAAATTAACAAATGAAATACACAGCAGATTCTTTCGCTAACATTACAATTCAGCTGAATTAGAAACCTAAGCCTTTGAAAATCTTTCAGATATAAATGGTCAGGTAAATTAAGTTCTGAAGAGAATAATTTACCTCATCTTGTAGTGACTCTTCAACCTGTTCATCATAGTCTTCATCTTGTCTTTTAACTAAAACACACCCAAATAAATGTTTTTTTTAAATTGTCGCCAAAATGGTTATAAAGGATTACATTCAGAAATAAAGGCATGGAAAACTGACCTTGCCGCAATTCTTGATTTTTAAAATGCTCTTCAAGTTTTGCTTTCAATATTCCTCCTAGTTCTTCAAAGTGTTCATTGTTAAGGCATCCATCTCCCATGACTTCAATACACTAATACAAGGTTGAGAGCGAGAAAACAGCCCGTGAGATTTAAGGGTTTTTAAGAGTCGAAAGTTAAACTCCACTTTTGCTGACGGGACCTTGAGTTTATGTTAATGGTGATGGACTGATGTGGAAGAGAACAGTGAGAATGGCTGTGCAGCTGAAGAATGTAATCCATACCACTCAACTGTACACGGAGAAACGGTCCAGCTGGTGTACGTTTTGTTACGTATATTTTCACAATTAAAAAAAAGGGAAAAAAAGTTAAACTCCATTAAGAAGCACCGGGTGCTGCTTTAGAGGCACTGTGTTTCTGTGAAGGGTTATGAGAAAATGTGGTGATAGCAGCACATGGTGGACGTAATGTCACCAAACTATGTGGAAAAAAGCACGAAATGGCAAATGTCTTATTTTACTACAATAAAAAAAATTAAATAGCACTGAATAAAGTGTAAGTTTGCCCTGGTGGGGCATTTTAGGTGAGAGAATGATACGGGCAAAGGCATGCATTCTTGGAAAAAACAAGAAATTCTGAATTGCAGGAGTTTATGTGAGGACAAACAAAGATGCACGTGGTCTTTAAACCAAGCCGTGGAGCAGGCTTATCTATGGAGCTGTGTGTAACAGGTGTGGCTGAGAGTATCAGGGGAGTGACTTAAGGAGTGAGAGAAAGGAGGCTGAACTGGGAGACTTCTGGGGCAGGCCAAATGACGCTATTTCAGCAGTACAAACAAAAGAAGGTGGTGGGAAACAAATAAAGAGGAATTTAAGAGGGAGCTTAGAACAGTAACTAACAAAGAGATGGATGTGTGCGGGAGACGGTAGCAGGCTTCTGTAGCTGGGTTATTAGGTACATGATGGTGGGAAGTCATGAAGACTGGAATGTGAGAGTGGCTACTCTTAAACAATAAAAATAAGGATAACACCAAATATTAAAATTAAAGAGCGAACATTTTCAGTTAAAAAAAAAACCAAAAAAAAATTTATGCGATAGCACATAAAACCACCATCCAACTTTCCCCCTAATTTATTTAGCAAGACTAATAAATGAACATATAACTGTATACCTGCTCTTTAAGGGAGAAATACGCACCTTCGCAAAAGAGTGCATTATTTCTGAGAGAACATCGGAGTCTGGCTCTGTGCCGATGGCCTTGATGAGCGCGTCACACATAAAATGCCACATCTGCGTGAGGTACTCGGGCCCGCGGACTCTCGCACACTCCAGGAGAAGGGGCATGGATTCTGCGGCTGCCACTCGAACACGTTTTATGGTTAAGGAGACATGGTTGCTCAGGGGCCTCAGGAGACTGCTCTCTCTTTCTGCTTACTTACACGTGACAGTGCTCACCACGCTAACAGCAGTGCCAGCAACTTCTCTTTATCTAACACAGCCATCCCAGAGTCTGTGTTAAACGTAACTTGCATACAAAAACAGAAGTCTCTCTGCCCACAAGACGCACCTCCCTGCCTTTCCTGTCACCTTCCTATCCAAATTTTTAGGTAAACCCAAACACGTGTCTCTGATAAATCCAACCGAAGCTATGACTTTCCTGAGAAAACTACTCAGGGTTTCTTCCTGCCCTAGGCTCCTCATTAAGTCGGTAAACGAGGCCCTGATGACCTCCTCTTAAGCTTCTGTTCAGTCTTCTGACACTGGGGAAAGGCAGCCTTCTGTCAGGACACCAGGACAGGATGCTCTATGAGGGAATACTACAGAGTGGCTTTGGAGTCAGACAGAGCTGGGTTTGGGTCCTGGCCTACCGCTCCCTTGGGCTTCCTTATTTTTCCACCTATAAAACTGTGCGAGAGAGTGGGTGTGTGAAGGTACACACATTTACCTGATACATATTTAACTGCAGCTATCCTTATGGTGGAGTCCCTGGGCGGTGCAAATGGTTAACCTGCTCAGCTGCAAACGGAAAGGTTGGAGGTTCAAGTCCACACTGAGGTGCTTTGGAAAAAAGGCCTGGCTTCTTCCAAAAAATCAGACAATGAAAAGCCTATGGTGCACAGGTCTGCTCTGACACAGATAGGGTCACCACGAGTCGAAGGTGACTGGACAGCAACTGTTTTTTCGGTATGGTGTGAACACTCAACACTAAGGGTTGCGCAGACTTCAGCTAATGCAAACCCTACGAGCCACAATTTTACTAACTCCAGACATGTTTTGTGTTCAATCGTAGGATATCATCATGGAAATAAAATTTCAGTAAAGGGACCATCAGTTTGACAACTTGTTCCGTATACTCCACAAAGCCTTCCTTTAACTCCTTAGCGTAGCAAACCTGAAACAAAAGAAATGGGGGGAAAAATCCCAAGCCAAGAACCATGTTAGTTTTAAGGTATTCATATTTTTAACCAACAGCAAAATGAAAAGAGAATTTTGTCTCCTGACCAGAGCTACTCTGAAAGCTGTATGTAGGGCTGTCAAGCTAGTTTTCTTACTAACAAGTATTTTTAAATGGGACAGGGCCATGAAATCCTTCTAGCCTGTATTGTCTTTCAAAGGCTGAAATTATGCGTTATAGGCCATATTTTTATTTCTTGGGTGTGAGAGAATTTAACAAAAGTTTTAGCACTCTGAAAACAAATACTTCAAGCAAAATATATGAAAGATACCAATTAAGGAAAATAATTTTAGAAGACAAAAAACCGGAAAACTTAATTGTAGTAAGTATATCACTTACTTTGTAAATCTGCAGCCAACAGTCTTATGTTATTTTGTATTTTTTAAAAACCATTTCAATGGTGAAATGGAAAAAACAAGTGCTGTCATTTAAACAACTGTTTCTTTAGTTTCCACCACCACATCAAAAGATTTGATAATTCTGTTTAAAGACATTACATTTATATTTGTTCTCCAATTCAGAAGGAAAAAAGATACCACAAAAATACAAAATGTTCATATATTATAGGCAAGAAGAAATAACACATCTGTTGATACGTAATTTTTCGTCACTTTTATTTAGGTTTATCTAATTGCTAAATTTGTAACATCCCATAATTTCCTAACTCTATGTTTTAAAATATATATTCTCTCTTCATTCTGGCTGTAACACATGCTCGAGGAGAACAAAGGAAACTAACAAAGGAGAACTCAACACATGCACACCCCCCCCCAC